AATTATATAAAAATGATAAAAATACTAAAATTAGGACGTTATAATCTTAAATTTTATTTATAAGGTGCATTATTCTCTGTATACACATGCGCAACTTTCAGAAAGTCATATAAACAACTTTTAATAAAAGTATTTTCATAGAAGAGACAGTGTCAGTCTCAAGGTGCATTTCGAGGAAGATGGTTGACAGAACATATACTCCGTGCTTTTTAACAATAATATTCGTTTAATTAACAATTTTTATTAATATTCTAATACATTCTTTTTATATTACAGAAAAATTTTACCTTCAAAGTCATCACTGCGCAGGAGTATTAAAATAATTCCAGAAAAATTAAAACAATGTTAAAATTAAAATGTTATAATCGTAAATTAGATTTATTATGTATATTACGTTTGTTATATATAAGAATCCTTAAAAAAAAATTTGCATAACTAATATTCATTTTAAAAACTTTCACAGAGAATACAACGTGCCAGTCTAACGTTGAATTTCGAAAAGTAAAATACGTTGAAGTTATACTCCCTGCTTTTACTTATAATTAGCATATCACAGACACACACAATACATACGTACACACATACTACACTAGAATCTCCAATAATTTCGTTCAAGCGTTGATCGACTGGGAATTCTATTTGATTTTCTTTTTCCATCTCTCTTTCATTAAAAAAAAAAACAAAATATTATTCGTTTAATTCGCTTGACAAGAAATATCAATTCCCAAAACCTATATATATATATGCATTAAATTAAATTTGTTTGCCAACGTTTGACTCCTTTACGTATCCATAATGAGACAAAAAAAAAGAATATGAAAAATTCAAACGACGTTAAATAAAAAAAAGGTTCTTGTTAATTAAAAAATTATTTATCACGCATGAATCTAATAAGTGAACTGAAATATATATATATATATATATATATATATACGTGTACCAATAATTATATAAAAATAATAAAATTAATCTTATATCTTTTTCGTTTGGAATTATTTAAAAGATTATTCGAGAATGAACATTAAATTAATTAAATTTCAAATAATGTGATATGCTAATTAACATGTATATTATCCCTTTTTTTTTTTTTTATTTTCTTTTTTTTATATTTTAATTTACATTAGACCACACTTTCATAATTATTAGCACGTATGTTATATTATATCGTATAATATATGCAACATATGCAAATGTGGTTTGTTGTGAAATTATCTCAGTTAAATCTACCGCATTTCTTCGTAAATAGTTTCCTCAAATATCTCATAACAAAAGATAAAAAGAGAATGAGAGATAGATGTAACGTGTTGAATTAACAACATTCTCGCGAACATAAGATTGGGGAAATATTCATGACACTTTTGATGATATCTCTGCTATCTTCACAGTATTCACACGAATGTGTCCCTTTTCTCTTCACGTTTAATAAAGATGACGTCGATTACATAAAACGACATCTAACCAACTATATATATATATATATATATCATACTACCGAGTTACGATAACGAGCTAATTAATTATCCGTGAGAAAATGTGAGAAAATTTGCTTTACCAAGATTATTCTGTTATCTACGTTACTTGATGTATATATATATGTATATACGTAAGTATTGGGTGTAACAAAAATACTCAGTTAAAGTTCACTCATTTATATTGCTCATATGTAAAGATGAATATTAATTTTCATCTAGGTTACTCTCTGAAAATGATTAATCCTTCAGTTAGAATTACTCTTTTTTTTTCTAATTTGTATATACTGAGTTTTATATGTTCATAGTTTATTTTTTTTCTCTCTCTCTCTCTCTAAAAAATGTCTGCATTAATTAGATTCGTTAAAAAAAATAACCATGAGAATAAATGTTCATTAAATGTGACTTTTGAAAAAGAAATTATTGAGTATTATATAATTATTTGTTAGGATAATAAATAATTGTGTTAAATTGAAATTTGTTGTTTAACACGTTTCTCAGATTTAATTTTAAATAATTAATTAAGACGTTATTGTGATATATTGTTATAATTTCTTTAATAATTGTTATAATTATTAAAATAAATATTGTGTGTTATAATTTCCAAAATCCGACATTGATATAATCTAAGTTTTTATTTTCTAAGTGTTAGGATAGTTAATCCAAACTTAAAAGATTATCGATGATCATTTGGATCAATAAATTATTTTTTTATTTCAGGGATATTATTCGATTAAAGAAGGAAGATTTGAAAAGTCGTATAGAAGGTAAAGAAACGTGTCCCATTGAGATACCATCATCTTCTTCCTATAAAATGCAGTTTTATCCCAGGCTTACAACCAATTGTATGTATAATAATCAAATATTATTATTTCAATCATTATAGAAAAAAAAGAACGAGTGTTAATCGTTGTTAAAATAAAAAAGTTTAGTAAATGCTAGATTAAATTCTGATTACATATAACTTATATTTAAAATCATATATATATATATTTAAACGTAAAATTAATTTTAATTTATTAAAAAGAAAAGAAAAAGAAAAGAAACTTAGGGGAAACACAAACCAAAAAATAAAATAAAATGATCTTCGATGTTGTTGCATTGATGCAAGATCAGAATTCGTTACATATCCAAACCATAAAAAATTGAATTGAAACAATTTGAAGAGAGAATCAACAGATTAAAAAAAAAAAAGCTATCATAAATAAAATTGAAATTAACAATCAGTATTTAAATTAAAACGCGTCTATAAAAATGATTAACTATAAAAAATCATTCGACAAAATTTTATATAAAAACAATGAACATACAAAAGAAGAAAAAAAGAAAACAAACACAAACAAACATTTCTTCCAAAATAATTCTTTTCAATATAATAATATCAAACGTTTGAAAAATTTCTCAGTTGAAATTTGATTGTCTAGTTAACCAGGTGATTAACATAACTAATGTATGCAGATGCATTAGAGGTTGAAACAAGACCGTTCGATAACCGTCTATGTTATACAAACGTATAGATTGTATAATCTATCTAACATCTTGTATTACCTTGAAATAATATTGTCTTAGAGTGAAACTTGTAATTGGTAGTACGTGTAATACCTAGGATAACGAGAAAGTTACGACAAGAGAGAAAGATATATATATATATATATATATATATATGAAAGATTGCTATGAATCTCATTACTTCTCGAGTTTGAATGAAATCAAGAAGAAA